ACTTAGGCTTATGATTCGCTAGAAGACGAGCCTCTCCCAGCAACCTGGATTTTAAAAGAGGAATGAGAAAATTTTACAGGCCTTCCTGGAAAAGTTGGAGTGTCACCAGCCGTTTGCAGTACAGCCAGAGGACATTTCACCAGCTCTGCACTGTTGAGTACACATCCATTCAGTATCGCTCAGACGCACAAGACCTTCACGCTTGGCTTGTTCAGCTGATCTCATTCATATCTGAAAACAAGGCAGGCCTAGGAACTAAGTATATTTACTGTTTGAGGTTCATTTTAAAAGCTCAGGTCCAACTACATTACAACTCAATAACTTGGCAAAGAATCTATACTACAAAGACTATATTTCAAGGCATGGAAAGAAAGGAAGATGGTTAAAGTAATTAAGCTGACAAGAAAATGCTGAACTTAGTTATGACTTGAGCAATGGTGACATATTTGTGATGAATAGGTTTAAGATCTGCTTGTGTTTATGGGACAGATAAGAGGCCAAAGGTAAGATTAAAATGCTGGCTTCCTTGGGCTCTGTTTTCATCTCCTCCCCTAAAGCAATAATCCCACTGCAAGACTCTGTCTCTTCTTCAGCCTTCTTGTTCCTCCTCCAGTAACTTTTGGAACCAGTGGCCAACCTCTAGCTAAAATTAACAAAAGGTTACGGAAGCAAAAAAAATAAATAAAAAGGAAATGAAGTACCTCTAAATGTTGTGAATATGGACATCTGGGCTGAGGTGAGCGATTCTGCAACAGGAATTCACTTTTTCCTGGGCAGCAGAGGAAGAGTATATGGGTGTGAAGGACAGAGGATCCACCTTTGTGTTCAAAGCTGTAGGAAGTCAAGTTTAATTGCTCCCAGAAAAGTTTGCCAGATGGCATGTCTGGAAGGAGGCTTTTTCCTGGAAGACCACAGTACATCACAACAGACATTAAAGATAGCTACAACTGACCCCTCTTCTCTTTTACTTATTACTTGTATTGCACAAGTGCTAAAGAGGCAGCTCCTTACTGCTCCCAGCCCCTGGGGCACAGTGCTGCACACAGAACAAAAGGCATTCTGCTTCGGCAGCTCGCTTCGCCTTGCTCCTACTGCAAAATCAGGAGCGGGTTCAAATGAAATTCCAGCCCCCTCTGGCTGCAGGAACAGCTCCCTCCCCTCACTCCTGTCTCCTGGTCAGGGAGCAAAAGTGACTTCTTTCCACATCTATCCCTCTATTCCTTCCCACTCCCAAAACCCATGCTCTTCATACATATTGAGATCGTGCTGCCCTAGTAAGCTGGAACAAATAGCTTTCTTCCAGTCCTGGGTTACTGCATCAGACACATATCTCCATATATTTAGGGTTAGAAACTCTCCTTGAAAACTATGACAGCACACTGGTAACCTTACCAGAATGAATAGGGTTACCAAAATGTTGTCCAGAAGGAACCTGTGGAGCTCTCCAGTTCAATCCTCCTTGAAGATGGGCCTTTTCCAAGAGTAGATCAGGTTGACTGCAGTTTTGTCGAACTGAGACTCAAAACCCACTAAGGATGGAGATTCCCTGACCTCTCTGGGTGACCTGTTTCGGGTCTGCATCGCTCTCCTAGTGAAGATATCTGATCTGAATCTTCCCAGCAGCAATATGTGGTCACTGCCCCTTGTTTTATCATCTGCCACTAATGAGAACAGTGTGGCTCCACTGACTTCGTGACTGTTCTTCTAGCAGTTGTAGGATGCTACTAGATCCCTCTCAGCCTCTTCTTTAACAAAGTATACAAGCCCACCTCCCTCAGCCTCTCCTCAGAGCTGACCACCGGTAGCTCCTTACTGGACCTCCTCCACGTTCTCATGATCCTTCTTGACCCAGGGTCCCCGAACTAGACACTACTGCACTTGCAGTTGACACAAGTCCAGATTCCTGCCCATTGGCTGGCACTCCGCGTTTCCGAAGCTCAGGGGCAGGCTGATGCTGGGCAGCCTTATGCAGTCTTGCATGACTGGCAGTCTGGGCAGTCTTTTGTCCAGCAGGATATGGAAAAGGTGTTGAAATGAAATACTAGGTAGTCTGAAGAGAGAAGAGAATTTGTAATATTTTGTAAAAATGAATAACATGATAACTGAGAATTGCCCCACTGTCTAACGACGAGCTGCTCAAATGCAGCCTCGTCAGATCCCGGGACTTCAGCCCTGCTCACACTGCCACATCAGGACAGCAATCTGCTACAAGCACCAGAACTGATGTTTCTCCTGCTCTCCCCAGCCGCTCCTGACACATCGTGTTGGGGTCCCTCTGGCCTTGGGGAGCCTCAGGTAGTGGGTCAGTTTGGAAAAGGAAGAGGAAACTCTAATTCAGTCCAGTAATTTTCCAGATCACTTCCTCCTTCGCATGAATTCTGTGCAAATACTTTTATTGATACAACAAAGAGAAACACGTCACTAGAGTAAGTCAATCAAGTGCCCTCCCCATTCAGACCTAAATACAAACATCATAAAGCCTTTTCCTGGGAAAATGCTTGACTGCACAACACAAAATGAATAGGCAGACCTTGAAGCTGAGACCTGAGCCCACAGTTCCCCTCTCTCAACCACTAGCCAAACAGCCGTTTTCCCCTGCTTGCTTTTCCTCTGGCTCCATGGATTTTCCATTTCTCTCCAGTCCATGAGGCAGTTTGAACAGGAGAGGAGGAGCTCGGAGAGCAACATGCAAGCTGACTCTCCTCCAGGGACGGAGAGGCAGAGTTCCTTGGCCTGAAAGGAAAATTGAAAGCAAGTCTCCTACCTGATGCAGGACTGCACTCACTAAGAGGCTATGACAGCAAAGGCAGCACCTGTCCTGACAGAAGCAGTCCTGCTCACGAGCGCTGTAAGCACTCACCCTCACTAGAGAGATCTGGACCCAGGATGGATGAACACCTGACTGAAGCCTTACATCAGCTCCAGGGATGGGAGGGTTTCAGATACACCCATACAAGGTCTTCTAGTGACAATTTCCCGATACCTCCTTGCTAAGCACATGGATTTCTCAGACCTGCCTTCCAAGAGATTTAACTCTCTTTCAGACACTATATTTAGATAGTAGATGTCTAAGGGCCTTCTTGAAGCTATCCCTCAACTTGTCTCTTCTATATAAAACCCATAGGAAATAAAAGAATATGTAAAACCAAAATAGTCATAATAATAGAGGGACTTTTCACAGAATCACAGAATGGTTGAGGTTGGAAGGGACCTCTGGAGATCATCTAGTCCAACCTCCCTGCTCAAGCAGGGTCACCTAGAGCATGTTGCCCAGGATCACGTCCAGGCGGGTTTTGAAGATCTCCAGCAAAGGAGACTGCACTACCTCTCTGGGCAACCTGTTCCAGTGCCCTGTCACCCTCACAGTGAAGAAGTTTTTCTCAGGTTCAGATGGAACTTCCTGTGGTTCAGTTTCTGCCCGTTGCCTCTTGTCCTGTCGCTGGGCACCACGGAGAAGAGAGTGGCCTCATCCTCTGGACACTCCCCCTTCAGATACTTATACACGTTGATGAGATCGCCTCTCAGACTTCTCCTCTCCAGACCTTTTCCTAGAAGACAAAACCCTAGAAAACAGGAAGGGTTTCTGGAGAGGGGCTGTGTGCCAGCACAGCTGCAGGAGAGACACTGAAGGCAACAGCACGCTTTGGCTCTCTTCAGTACCTGCAGAACATAACCAACACAGCAGCTGAAAGGAACTCGTGACAGCTTCTTCTGCCTGTCTGTTCAATTACATTTATCACCAGAAAAGGTTCACTGAAAAATATCACATGCTTCTGGCACTATAGAGAATATTAAGGAACATGCAAGTAACAAGCTGACTGAGGAAAAGCAGCAGAAGAGCATGACTAGCACCTTCGTGCTTCTGTCTGACCCAGCTCCACAGAGTGCCAAGCTGTCCAGGAGAGATGGAGGAAGAAGTGCGAGAAACTGCAGGAGTGGCAGGAGGAGCGTTAAGCCTATTTCCCGCTCAGACAGAGGGGCCCTCATCTTGTGAGTCTGTGCCAGCCCAAAGGGCCTGCCTTCTTCCTCCGTAAGGAACAGCACCAGCATCTCAGATGACTCCCTCCAGCAGGATGATGTGACCGATTGCATCCTGAAGCTGTTGATCCTCTGCTCAGCAGAAGCACATTCAACTCTGCGCTGCCTTGGTTCAACCTTGTCAGTTTGCCACCCACAGTCACTGGTGTCCTCTCACCCTGCAGGAGTCTTGCACTACACCCACCACACTGCAGGTCCCTGCAGTGCCCAGGACCGAGCGAGTTCTCCCTTTCTTGTGAAGGTTAAGCCAAAGGCTCTTTCCAGGCACCTGCAGAAAGCGAGTTTAGCCCTACCTGCCCAATCTATACTGTCTGAATTTCAAGCACTGACAAAACTGCAACTGGGCTTGCAGTTTTGCCCATGCTTTCCATGATGAAAGTCCCTAGAGGAACTGTTTACATTGACATCTAGGGTCAAGCCTGAGGGTTGACTCCACTCAGCTTAAGCCTATCTCAGAGCTTGCACTGAAGCCATCCACTCTGACCTTCCTGATCCTCCAAATGAGCTCTTCAAGAAATCAGTCTTGTTTCTCCTTCTGGGCTTTTCTCTAATTATGGCTGTTAGAGACAGGAAGTGGGCTCCACAGCAACCGTAAGTCGAGACCAGGCAACTGTGGGTTTAGCGTTGGCCAACTGCTTGAGCTTGTATCCTGCAGTGAATGGTTTGATCCCAGGCACACAGCAAGACATGGGACTGACAAGCTGATTTCTTCTCAGATCCTGAAGTCTAGCAAAGCTGGGCCAGAAAGCCTCCAAGAGCAAAAATAAGGGAGGCATCAGAGTATATGGCCAGCAGAGCAGGAGTTGAAGGTGCCTCTAAGGTCAAGCTTTAGTGATTTCCCAGCTACGGCCTGAGCCCATACCCCTGACGAACTTTGTGGTACACTTCTGTGTCAGCTTTTATCTGCCTGACTGCATAGTTGATAGTCACAAGTTGCTTGCTTCAAAGAGAGGAAACCCATCACTGACACTCCCATAATTCCTTGTTTCCACCTTTCAGATCTTCTGTATACACCTCCTCCATCTCCTAGAAGCCAGTGGCATTTTATAGACCTCCTGCAGCAAGCGGCAGCTTCTGCATCTTCTCCAGCATGCAACTCCTGTGACAGAAATGAGCATAGGAAATCATCAGCTGCAATCCCAGAACTCTCACTTCCCAACTTCTTGCTCTTTGAAGTCCTTGTTACTCACCAAATACTTAACCAGGCAAAAGCAGCTCGTCACGTGCCTAATCTCCCACCTTCCATTGCACTATTTTGATCCGCAAACAGTTTAGGTGGTACAGTAGTCACAGGAGCTTGCTGGGATCCAGACAGCTCAGCAGCTGTGAGGACAAGCCACCCCTGCTCTCATTCAGCACAGGCAGACCACTCACCACACCTCCAAAAGGGGTGGGAGGGAAGGAAACTGCGAAGAGCAACTCAGTGTACCAAGCTGCTGCGTTTTCAGTTTGTACTTTGATTTTCAGAGCTGCCCCGTAATTAGCTTTAGGTTGTATATCATTGGGATTTTTATTTGACACAGCAACACGCATTTGCCTCCAGTGGATCTAGTCCTACTGCTCTATTCTGAAGTTTCTGCTTGTAGGTATGTGCAAATTTGGCATTCGCTTAGTCCATTAATTGCAAGGACACACAAGCCATGGCTGTGCTAAGAAATGTTTGATGGAGTTTAGCGAACTTCAAGTAATCCCTACAAGCCAGTAAAACGGCTTTCCCCCAAAGTAGCCATTTCAGAATCCAATTAATCTGGATGCTGAATTCATTAAGTAAACGAACCCTTTCCTAACATACTCTGTAAAACAAGGCATGCTGCAGAGCAGAGCCTGCCCTTACATCAGACCCTGAAAAAAAAAGGCCTTTTTAATTAGTTAGAAAAATAACATAGTAGCAACTGATTTCCATTTTAAGTCACCCTGTGTAGCACAAATATGAGCCTGCATGATATCCATGACTTCCTGTGATTCCTGTTTTGCATATGCTATTTGTTTCATCATGTGAGCTGGCTACAGTGTTCTGTGCCTACTGACAGAGGAACACCTGCCACAGATTGGCAGGGTTTACCAAACTATAATCATGAGAAAGGCATTTGGTATTCTACTGATGTGGGGGGAACAGCACCTCCACTCCCACCCTGCAAGGGTCCCTTCCATCACCACCCCACGCGTGCTGAGAGGTAAGTCGAACTACTGTGCAGCCCCACACAACCAAAAGTCAGCACAGAAGGCAGTAGGAGGACATTTTTGCATTCTCCTGCAAATACCTATGTCCCACCGGTAAAAAAAAAAAAAAAGGAGAAAAGACTCTCCAAGCAGAGGAATGCAAGTTCTCCTCTGCACTTCATAATCCCGCAGCATGTTTGTGAGCCCCAGACACCCATCAGTCCTTCCAGGATGGGAGAGCAGACAGGTAACATTCACCGGCTCTTCCAGGAGAGAACATGTATCCCCATGCCTTGCAATATCTTTGAATGCACCTATTTCCACCCTGTTTTTCACGCCCACAAGCAAGCCAAACAACATAATGTAGAATTACAAACAGCACTGCCACAGGTCCAAAGACTGACTTGCCAACTCCAGATTGGTTTGTCAGTTGAAACGGAGGCAGCCAGGTTCCAGCTAGCAAGAGCTCCTCTCCCTCTAGCTGCTGGGGTTCAGCTGTGCACTGTCCCTGTCAGAAAGCTGTGAACAAGCCCTCACATAGGTTATGTTTCTCTGTGCTGAAGTTCCAGAGGTATTCTCTTTCCAAGTGCTCAGAAAAGTTATGCTCCTCCTACACGACACTAGCTTCTCCAGCAACAAGGGCAACACATACGGACAGGACAGAAATGACAGCACTCATCACCTCTTTCAAATCAGTTCTCTAAGTTTCCTCCATGCTACCTCATCCTCATGCCTCCCAGCATCTCTCTAAGTTATGGCTGCTTACCAAAAACTGACAGGCGGAGCTTCTGCAGTGGATTCAGGGACTCAACCACCAATCTAAATCAGCTAAGCAGCACGCCACCTAAATGAGCTCTGCAAAGAGCAAGGCTACAATCCATACTAGCCTTGGAGTAGTTAAAGAGACATCTGTTCCATAATACATGATGGACCAAGTCCCTGGAAGGACTTGCCGTATCTTTACAAAGAAGTCTGGGCTATAATCTAGTATCTCCTGAGAGAAACAATCAACACAGAGTGGGAGCATCGCACTTTTCAGACAAGATACAGAGGATGAGAGAGGGTATTTCTTCTGTTTTGGATTTGCTCGCTACATCAAAGCCCACAAATGCCTAATACTGTGGTCATGTATGGCTACCCAGGCTGTCCAGCGATACCTTCAAAGAACATATTGGCACAATGAGGTATCTCTTACAATAGGATCAAAACCAGTATTTATACAACCCATGAACTATCAAAACTGGTGTCAATACTCTCAAGCGAGAGTACTGGTATCGGTCTCAGTCTGTAGAATATTTCTCATTCTGATTTAGAGAAGGCCCGTGTTTACCAAAACTGACAGTAAAATATATGTTGTCATTGCTAAAAAGGACCTAACAAACATGCCCTTAAGGGTATAGTTTTTCTCCCCACCTACAGATATGTCATTTGCAAAGCGAATACAAACCTGCAAGAGACTATGAGTAAAGGCATTTTCTAGAGCATTTGACAAAACACACCAGAGCAAAGTTCACAGCCTGATTATGCACATGTTCACCTGATAAAAATAAAATCTGTGTCCTGTCAACAAACTTGTAGTGTCACTGCCAGAAGCCAGGAGTAATCCTGGCCGTGCACTGCATGTCAGAAAAAAATGCGTTCTGAAGGGCACGCATTTAATTAAAGCTTTCAGCCTTAGTTAGGATTGTGTTTAACAGCTTCAACATCATCTCTGAAGAAAACGTATATTAACAAGGATACCTGGCAATCATTTAGAAATCAATAAAAACATCTTAAAGAGGAGGATCAGTGACGTAAAACATCACTGTTTACAAGGATGGGATAAACCCTATTGATCAAATGAACCCCATAACTAGGACAACTTTCAAAACCCCAAAACATTAGATAAATCAAATGCAGAGCCTTCTCTGGCAATACTACAGTATGGAACACCACAGGGAGAGAGTTTTTTTACTTTTTATTTTTTTAACTCAGACTGAAAAATCTCTTTACTTACTTTAGACAGTTATTCTCACTTCCCCGAAATAACTTTCACAAATACAACGTGACCAAACAAATGGTTTCTCTAACCTCACAAGTCATGGGACCCTGCCATAGTCACTAACAATGGGCCACAATCTAAATGGCACAGTTGAATGCCATATGAGTTCAGACATCTCTCTCCTGAGGTCTGACAAGTTGATGGGAAAGAACAGCACTATAATAAAAGTAGCTGCTAAAATATTTCAAAGTCAGACTTCGATCTGTATTTAGACTATCAAATATCTGAAGAAAACCAATAAAGGCGAGATGCCACCAGCAACCTGGTGATGAATGCAGGAGGAGAACACTGAAATGGGAAGTACCTTATTACAAACAGACTCCAGTCCCAGTGGACTTCCAGATACAATCAGGATAGAGCCAAAGCAAAACAGTGATTAACTTTGGGTCTTGGTAATGGTTACTATTTGATGAAAACAAAGTTGTGCCTATTTGTGGGCAGAAAAGGGCCAAGGACAGCACTACCACAAAAAATAGCTCGCAGGCAGGGGAAGCCACTACCCCAGATGAGCCAGACTCCATGGAACAGGTGATCTTTCTCCCAGTCCCACCACAGTCCGCTGGCACACATGGCTGTGCCCCGCAGAGGCTCACCGTGCCCAGTTCCCACCCAGCACTCACCGGATGAGTGAGAGATGCTCTCTTGCCCTCGGTACTTGCTCAGCACAGCCCCTACGCATTTGCTGTATTTGAGTATCACCACAGGTACCTTTGAAATGGCAGACACCAGGGTGCATCCTCACTGTCAAAGGGGGACCCACGCCCGCACAGGGGGTGAATGCAGCTTTGGGATTTTCTGTGAGTGGACCTGAGACCCTTTTGCACGTTAATGTTGTTGCTGGCATGAACTGTCCTTCTGTGCCCCGGCTGATGAACATAAACATTGTGTATCGGTCTGCTGATTAAAAAAGGGTTAGGAAAAGCCTCACGGCTTTTGCAAGGGGCAACAGACTCTCAGGGCTCAAGGCAGCAAATACACTTTGCAGTAACAGACACAAGTCCAAGAGCAGCTGAGTGAAGAATGATATTTAACCAGGTTTTCCTCTTAAACAGCTGTGCTTGTAACAGCAGAGAAATCGATAGCACCAAAGGGAACCACGATGAGTGGGATGAGGAATGCTGCTGACTTCTCTACACAGCCTTCTTCATTCATTTCATTTATTGCCTGCAGCTCTCAGCTCTTCCAGCTCCAGGCTGGTTCCCCTGTACCTTGGTTCTGTGAGCTGGACTAATTTTCAGGGGAGACAAGGTAGGAGGCTAATTAGAACACACTTTTCATTTGTGAAGGGACCTCAGGGAGAGGAAGGGGGAGAAGGCAGCTTTTTGCTTGATCTGCCACCTAAGCGGTTTGTATTTGTTAGTGTAAACATAAACTGGATGACATAAAACTGATGCCTAATTCACGCGTTAACCTAATATCCACCACAGTTTACACCCACCGCCATTTATATGCATTATTAATATTTATAAGGATGACACATCTCTCTGACAGGAACTTTTGCCTCCAAAGACAACAGGATGTTATAGTATGCGTGAAAGAAACCACTCAAGCATTTCCAGTGGATCCTGTCCACACATGTCATGTCTTTGTACCGTACTCTAACTGTATTATTCAACGGAGAGTCTGGATTACCTGCTGAAAGTGTGGATAGTGCCAGTCTCAGGAACACACTTGCCTATATTACAAGGAGTCCTAAAACATTTCAGAGGTGCGTTATTTCTCTGTGGATGTTCCTCTAGGAGCTAGAGGCTTTTTAAATGGAACCGATACTGCAAAAAGAAGTGAGACATGGAGTTATGTGGCAGAATCCTCCACCTCCTGAGGAGTTACCACTTACCGGTGCCTCCGAAACACGTGGCAGGTAGCTGAGGCTGCAGGGTTGTCTTCCACAGAAGGTGTCTTAGCCCCTACTACCACAGGGCCATTAGTGACAATATCTAATAAAGAACCAAAAACAGTCACGTTGCATTACATTGCTATACATGCAGTCTCACACGAAAACACAGGCAGCAAAGCCCTGATCCCGTTGTCTCAGCTAAAACTATGCGGCTCCCCAGCTAAACTACAATTATATCACGTGTGGGAGCTGCAGTCTCTGGCAGGGCAGAGTTCTCTACCTTAGAGAAGGTTTAACTCTCCACAGGGGGGAGAGCAGCATACACATACACCTCACTGGCAGCAGACAGCAGTATTGGTTTAAGCCAGTAAAGAACCATATGGAGAAGTAGACAGGGTGTACCAAAATCTCCTTCAGGAACCACCATGCACGGGCAAGCAGGGAGGTATTAGACAAGGTATGTAAGGAACGCTTTTTTACTAGACTGCAGTTGACATTTACATTAAAATGCATGAGGTTATCATGAACTGCTCCACCTGATGTGATGGAGCTTATTTAAAGCGGCACAAAAATGTCACATTTCAGCCGCAGGCTAGAGCAGATAGCCTGCGGTGACTTCTTCCTCCAGAGTGGCAGGTCAAGTAGTGCCCTGATATTTACGGCCCGTAGATTTTTTATGTTCAGCACAAATGTCTCCAGCATTTGTTAACTCATTTGATGTGCAGCTTTTCAAAGAAAATACAGAAAGACACGCTCCAGAGCAAGAGCTAGCAACGTGTAAAATTACCTTGCCACCAGTTCCAGCCAAGGCAGAAAAGAAGCAGAACTTTACAGCCATGGCTGACTCTCCCCGGCCATCCTTAGCCAAGCTCTGCTTGTGAACCACCGGCTCCAATGGACTGTGGATTAGGCCCTAAAACGAAGAAGACATGAGACAAATCTCGCTCAGCTATTACGTTCCTTTATTTCTCCTGCCTTCCCTTCAGAATGAATTTATGCCCTCACAAGGGTGCAACGTGTCTGGTGTAAATCAGCAGAATTTACACTAGATTAAACACAGTGCTTGAGCGTCTCTGATTACATACGTTAGGAAAAACTAAGCTTTCTCTGAAGGGAAAACGTGCTCACAGACTCTTTTGTGGTTCATCGTTTACCACGTGATTATGTATATTTGATACATTACTGTATGTTTTTTAAAGGTGTATTAGTGTATATGTATGTCCGTATATTTATATATCCATATATACAAAAAGATGTAGCTAAAAGACATAGCTAATTTTGGTTCAGAACAAAGACGGCTCCCTCGAAACTGTAACAGCCGTTACTTGGCTGCAGCTTGCATCCCTACGATGGTCTTTTCTTCTCCCATTAGGCCAACTATGAACAGGCTAGGCACAAGACGCAGTCATAGGTGTCCATTCTTGCTTAAAGATAAAAATGCTATGCCCCTGGCCTGAACAACGTTTGTGCCTAGTCTGCATCAATCCTATCAGTGAAAAGATCAGGGAGTTTCAGCTGCGTGGTGCCCTGAGTTCATCCGAACTGGAAGGACAGATCTGGTCATGCAGTCACAGGTACCATCCAATTTTGTTTGTCTAACGCAATGGAAATGCGTCACCTACAGAGCAAACGCTTTGCCAAAGTCCAAACATCATTGCTTTAAGATACAAGGAAAAGGGAAAAAAAAATAAAAGTACCTTTCTGAAAATCAGGTCTGCTGCCAGCTGCGATACGAGCCGCGTGGCCTGAGCTCAGGCCTGCAGCCAGGACGCGCCAGGCTCCAGCTCGCTCTCCGACGCTCTGCTCCGCTGAGGGCAGGCGAGCGCGGCGCTGAGCGCCTCTACCCCAGCTTCCTCCCCTGTCAAACAGGTATTAGCACAGCGCGAGCCTGGATGCTCGCGCGGGGGCTGCGAAGACGAAAAAGCAGCGTTCAGGCCTGGTGGAAGGGACTTAGGAGGTCTGCGGGTCTTTCTCGGGGCGGATTCACCCAGCGCACCGCAAGGGACGAGGCAGGCACCAGCCTACGGAAGAGGCAACGCGTACCACCACCACCACCTCCACCTCCACCTTCACCACCACCTCCACCTCCACCCCGCGCTCCGCGCTGGGTCCTTCCAGGCGGCGTAGGCAGGAGCAGCCGGGAGCCGGAGGGAGAGAGGCAGGGAGGGAGGGAAGTCAGGCTGAACGCGTACAAAG